CTCTCTCTCTCTCTCTCTCTCTCTCTGTGTGTGTGTGTCTAAAACTAAGATACTGTTAAATTTAAATTTGAGAGCAACAGAGATTTACATCTTTACCATTTCTACATGTTTCAGGATGCTAACTTAACATGGTATACAAACAATCCAGATGTAACAGTATGTTTTGAAAAAACAATATTAATATGGGTACCATGCATATTTCTATGGATATTCTCATCAATGGAGGCATACTATATTTTACATAGCAAAAGAAGAAACGTTCCATATACATGGTTATTTATTATTAAGCAAGTACTTACGATAGCATTGATTATACTTTCCATAGTTGATTTAGGAATGGCAATATATGAAAGTACTTATCGTGAAGTCTACAGTGTTGATTATTGCACACCATTTATAAAAATAATAACTTTTGTAAGTATATATTTTCTTGATAATTATCATAATTATTTCTTTCTCACTAATAATTATTGTTTATCTATTGTAATTAAAAAAATTAATCATAATTACATAGATTCTCATTATGACATTAAATAAATATGATAATTATTTCAGATTTTAGCATCTATTTTGATGATATATAACAGAAAATATGGAATGCGGACATCAGGTCTTTTATTCTTATTTTGGTTTATCCTTGCATTGTGTGGATGTGTCCAATTTAGAACTTTTATAAATAAATTAATTGATAGGGTATGTTAGATTTTAATTAGTGTTATAATTAAAAAGTTTGAATGTGTAGATACGTTTACAAATTGCACTTTTTATTTAAATTTTTAATTTCTTCCTAAATAAAAAACTAGTTTTAAAATCTTTACTTTCCAAAATAACTAATTAACGATTATACATTCAAGATTATAACGAAACTTAAAAAAAATTATTTGTTTTTAGGAAAAATCAACATATCCAATAGTGTCCTATATGATCTATTATCCAATAGTACTATTACTTTTTGTACTTAATTTCCTTGTTGATGCAGAGCCTAAATTTTCCGAGTATCCTACGGTAGGCTGTCATAGATATCGATTATATATTTATTATTTATTATATTACATGTTCAATATTTTATAATTGGTATGAAATATACAAATGATATATACTAGTATGAACTATACGAGAATACATAACTTTTAAGTTACAAATATTTGTGAATGATTTTTAATATTTACTCATTACTCAGGTTGAATCGCCATGTCCAGAACAAAGTGCTTCATATCCATCGAGACTTCTGTTTGCGTGGTTCGATGCCTTGGCGTGGAAGGGTTTTCGAAAACCTCTTGAAGCATCTGATTTGTGGTCAATGAACCCGGAAGATATGGCTATGGAAATTGTACCAAAATTCGACAAATATTGGGATAAAAACTTACAAAAGACAGACGAGTAAGTTTTGAATGCACAATTACCAAATTTCTTTCGTCAAATTAATCGACGTTAATTCACAAACGAATTAATTTGTTTGTTTTTATCTCAATCTGATAACAAGATTTTATAAGAATATGTAGCAGTTTTCTGGTAGTCTAATAATTTTTTAACAATATGTTCGTACATTTTTTGCTAACAAGACTGGTTTGGACTTACCTTAGGTAGGATGCTTTTTAATATTTCTTGATCAAGGTGATCGTTGATGTTTGATCTAATATAAATTTAATTTGTATGTAATAGACATTTTTTTGTATATATATAGAGTAGAAAGCGCAAAAGCGTCATTCCGGAAGGCATCTGGACAAGTGGATTTTAATAGTGGCCGTAAGAAGAAGATTGCCTCCATCCTGCCACCTATTTGCAAAGCTTTTGGAGCAACGTTTCTGTTTGGTGCATTTTTGAAATTGGTTCAAGATATCATGACCTTTATTAGTCCACAACTATTAAGGTAAATGCTCATAGAGCTCAACATATATTCTAATTGTATAGGATTTCTAGTTCTAATTTCTTTTTTTCTTTTCTTTCAGAGTTCTGATCGCTTTCGTCAAAGAAAAGGAAGAGCCATTATGGAAAGGATATTTCTATGCTGTATTACTTTTTCTCACAGCAACATTACAAACATTAGTGTTATCTCAATACTTTCATCGTATGTTCTTAGTTGGATTGCGTATACGTACTGCATTGATCGCAGCGATTTACCGTAAAGCACTGAGAATGTCCAACGCAGCCAGAAAGGAGTCCACTCTCGGCGAAATAGTGAACTTAATGTCTGTGGACGCTCAGAGATTTATGGATCTAACTGCGTATATAAATATGATTTGGTCGGCTCCATTACAAATAGTTCTAGCTTTGTATTTCTTGTGGGAAATATTGGGACCGGCGGTGCTGGCTGGTTTAGCAGTTATGATCATCCTTATCCCTGTGAATGCACTGATCGCGAACAAAGTGAAAACGCTGCAAATCAGACAAATGAAGAGCAAAGACGAGAGAGTGAAATTGATGAACGAGGTACTTAATGGTATCAAAGTACTGAAGCTTTATGCGTGGGAACCTTCCTTTGAACAACAGATACTTAAAATCAGAGCCAAAGAGATACAAGTGTTAAAAGAGGCGGCGTACTTAAATGCTGGTACGAGCTTCATATGGTCCTGTGCCCCTTTCTTGGTATGTTTCTAAAGTAAGAAATTTCTTATAGCATAATTAAAAATTAAATTATAATTAGAAATGATAGAAGTGTTCTAGTTTTTTTTTTTTTTACGAAATAAATTTTTCAATTTTGAAATCTTCAATTAATTGGATAGGATTCAATTACCTTGAAACTTTTCTTTTACATTCATTATCTTTTCATAAATTTACAGGTATCATTGGTGTCTTTTGCCACTTATGTACTTATAGATGAGAAGAACGTCTTGAATAGTTCAACTGCCTTTGTTTCGTTAAGTTTATTTAATGTTCTAAGATTCCCACTCTCTATGCTACCTATGATGATTAGTAACATAGTTCAAGTGAGTACATTGTTCCTTTTCTCTCTATATTCACTTTATTAATTATTTACATGTTACGTATTCTTGGTTAATGTTATATATATATTTTTTTGTAGGCTTATGTTTCCGTAAAACGTATCAACAAATTCATGAACATGGATGATTTAGATCCTAATAATGTGCAACATGACCCATCAGAACGTAAGACAAAACTTTCTTCTCTTAAATAAAGCTATATTAATTTTTATCTAATATATTGTTTCGGTAGTTTTGCACATAGTGTGTATCATATGTTTGTGTATGTGCCCGTGCGTCCGTGTATGTGTATGTATACAAAGAGTGCTATGCGCGCGCACACACACATCATATACACAACACAACAATAACATACAATATATATCATATGTACAATTCAGTAACATCAAAACAATACATAAGGATAAAAATTAATATAACTTTACATACATACATACACACACACAGGGTAATTCAGGACCTCTGTGACAAATTTTAAAGAATGATATGTCTCGCAGAAAAGATCATTTTTTGTCAAGCAAACTATGACGCGTTCTCTAACATGTTATTTAGATATTATGCGACCGTGAAAGTCTAAAATGATGTTTATTATAATTATGAAATGAATTTACCTACGTAGATATATTGGTTCTGTTGATGTTTATGTTCTTCGAATCTCTTAATGTTTATGTTTACATTGTTCAACCAAGCCATGGTCTCTTTTTCTTACCTCTGCTCTACATATAGTTGACACACTAGTTGACACTAAAGAGAAACTAATTGTACAAATATTCGCTGCTTTTAATCAAATTCGAAATAGATTTTAAATGTTCGATAGAGTTTAACAATCAATATCACGACGATACCATAAATATAATCAGGTTCAGAGTAGACACTTTGAATACGTAAACTATATAAGTATATTTGGAATAGTAAATAAATAATTCATTTCATAATCATAATAAATGTCACCTAGAACCTTCGCTATTAATGTAGCATCTAAATAACATATCAGAGAATTTAACACAAAATGATTCTTTCTGCAAGACCTATCATTTTTCAGAGTTTGTTGCAGAGGTCCTGAATCACCCCGTGTATATGTATGTCAGTGTGCATGTGTGTATAATGTTCAAATATTCAACCGACAAAATTTTAGAGATTTTCGGAGACCTTAAGGTTTACTTTTTGCAATTAGACTCTGAGTCAGAAATGCGTCGTTACATTGCTACGATGACGGGAATGTTGACAGGTTTTGAAGAAAGCAACATGTCAGGCATATGACATCACAAGCGCTCAATTCACATAGAGTATGGCGCACTGTTTACTTAAAAAATACCGCAATTTCTGAAAATTTTTCGGTTGAATATTCGAACACTTATATAGAACTTATACATATGTTACATTATATTATATTTCTATAGCACACGCCTTATTAATCGAGAATGGTAATTTCTGTTGGGATATGGAACATGTCGACAGACCAATATTACAAAATATTAATATGCATGTAGAACAAGGTCAATTAGTAGCGGTAGTTGGCACAGTGGGATCAGGCAAGAGTTCACTTCTATCTGCTTTACTCGGTGAGATGGATAAATTGAGCGGTAAAGTGAATACAAAAGTGAGTATTTTTTTTATTGCTTTTCGGAAAAATAAAATAGGTTTGTTTTTTAATGGAATCGATGTTAATTAATGTAATTTTAATATTTTTATTAGGGATCGATAGCATACGTTTCGCAACAACCATGGATACAAAATGCCACATTGCAGGACAACGTTCTGTTTGGAAAAGCCTTAAATAAATCGGTATATAATCGCGTAATAGAAGCGTGCGCGTTAAGCCCGGATCTCAAGATATTACCCGCAGGAGATCAAACCGAAATCGGAGAGAAGGGAATCAATCTGTCTGGTGGCCAAAAGCAAAGAGTAGCCTTAGCCAGAGCTGTATATAATGATTCCGATAATTATTTCTTAGATGATCCTCTGAGCGCAGTAGACTCGCACGTAGGAAAACATATATTTGAAAATGTGATAGGTCCAGGTGGTTTGCTTAAAAAGAAAACGAGAGTGCTCGTCACGCACGGCATTACGTATCTGCCAGAAGTCGATAACATTATCGTCCTTAAGGATGGCGAAATAACAGAATGCGGCACTTACAAGCAACTGTTAGAAAAAAGAGGTGCCTTCGCTGATTTTTTGGTACAACATTTACAAGAAGGTACTTATTCTTATTTGTTTCGCGTCATTTTTATTTCATGATATTTATTATAAAAATTTATTCTTACATTTTTCATGGATCTAAGTTGGAAATCGTAAGTCCATGAAAAAGTAATTACAATTCCTTGCTCTGCTTGCTTTGTTACTAGATTATTAGATTGGTGACACGTTCAATTAACAGAAAAGTTTTGCATCCCTTGGTTTAATATATGAAAACATTGTGTGTTTTATTGATTAAAGTATTACTTAACCTAAATAATTATATACCGTAATTATCGTATTTGATATTCTTTTCTTTTAATTTTGATATTTAAATTCTTATATTCGAGTTTGTTAGATAGAAATAGATAATTTCTTTTTCACCAATTTTATATTATATTATATAGAGACGTTTGCATGTGTGAATTCTCGACTTTTCCCCTTTTTGTAACTTTGGTACAGTTAACTTGTACAGTATTTGTCAAGTATTCTCTAAGATCAATATGACGAATTTGAAACAGTGCACGTTGACGACGGTTCCGAAGCAGATTTACGTGAAATTAAACAGCAACTTGAATCGACGATGGGAGCAGACGAGTTGCAGCAAAAGTTGACTCGAGCACGATCTAGAAAATCGGAGAGTTTAAGTGAATCTGGTTCTATAACTGATCGGAGATCACTCAATGGTTCGCTAAAAAGGTATAACTTAATAAATATATTTTATTAAAAATAATTACATTTTTACTTACATCCATTATGTCTCGAAAGGCAATACTCTACGGAAAGTCAACAATCTGCAAATTATATACATAATAATAGTATAAAAGAGAAAGAAGCAACGAAAACTAATAATACCGGGGAGAAATTGATAGAAGTTGAGAAGGCCGAAACTGGAAGTGTAAGTTACATTTAATATTTTTTTCAAAAATAATACATTTCTCTAGAGCAATTTCATGAGAAGAAAATATTAATTATATATGTATTTACATGTTTTTTTCTCATTATAAGGTAAAATGGAAAGTGTATTCTCACTATTTAGTGTCAATTGGGTTATTCTTATCAGTTGCGACGATCGTGATGAACGCTATTTTCCAAGCGTTTAGCATAGGTTCGAACGTCTGGCTTAGTGTTTGGTCAGACGATAATATGACTACTCCCAATGGCACGATCGACAAAGGGAGACAAGATATGTACCTGGGAGTGTACGGTGCACTGGGCATCGGTCAAGGTATGTTTTTATACAACACGTAGGTCTTGATAACGTCTTATCCGTTCAGCAGGTAAATCCAATTAGTATTGTTAAAAATTTCGCGTATACAAAGGACAGTCCAGTACCAGGTAAGCTTATTCCTAATTATTACTAATACGTGTAAAAAAAAAGTTATACTGATGTATATGCACTGATTTGATCATGAGAAGCGGTTAATTTCTATTTAACAAGTATGTTAACAGGCAATGGCACTTGATCTTGTTCGTTGTAGCATAGTAATTCAAAATGCATGTTCCCTCACAAATTACACATTATTGGGGTAACTTACTGATAAGTTATGCATACTTTAAAGTCTGTTGAGCCGAATGTGATTAATTTATGTGTGATTTATTACTAATCTACTAACCAACTTGTTTTCGTTAGAAGTCATGTTATAAATTATTCTTATGAATACATCTCATTATATACTCGAAAATCTCCTAATAATTTGAACAATTTCCTGGAAGAGAAAGAATTCAAGGGAGTGTAGTTTGCTGTGTCTATAAAGTAATTGCTGTACTTACAAAATAATTGGAAGACCATCTGAGAGAGAAATATTTTCTAATAACCATATGTTCGACTGCAAGTATTGTGATAACTATTTTCTAAGGATTTCTTTTTACTAGTGCATGAAAAATATTTCTGTTATTCGGAAACATCTTTTACTTGAGATTTCTTGATGTATAATTTGTTGATCTCTCTCTTAATATTTTTTATACGGATAAATAATTCATATATAACAATTATAGATAGTACACAGGAAAATGATTGACAGGCCATTCTTTCTATATTGTGGATATTATAATTTTATTTTAAAGTTATAATCAAAACTATAATTTTCTTTATATTTTGTAGTAAATTATATAACTCTCAATTGCATTATATGTTTAAAAGTGACTAATGTAATGTTATATGAATTCGCTTATAAACGCAAATTTCAAAATCACAAAATGGTCTCTCAACAATTTTTCCTATCTTGTTGACTTTGTTCGCCTGAAATCAATCATATAGATCATAGATCATGATGTCCATCACTTTATACTTAGATTTTATTGTGCAAGTTCGTCACACCATACGCCAAAGCTCATGTACGGACAGAACAGGTTAAAATGAGTAGAAGAATCCTCTACCATTTTCCGAACAATTACATAACATTTTGACGTAAAGGACGTGCGTCTGGGGAGACATTATTAGCGTTATCAATGCAAACGCTATCAAAGCTGTTCGTGGAGCTAATAGCGTGATAGTGATAGTGAGCTTCACAAATAACATTGCATTAGTATTTTTACAACTGCGTTATAGCGGCATTTTTGCAGTTTAAACACCTCTTTAGTTTTAACGTTCTGAAGATTTATTTAAACGTACACATACAATTGTTTATTATTTATAAAAATAATAAGTATGATTTACTGATACCGTTTGACAATCATGTTCAGTAACAGATATGCAGTTTACAATGTTTCGAGCGTTCATGCAGCTTACAAACGCTAACACTATCAATGCACTATTTCAGAAGGAATAGTGTTGATAGCGCATACAAAGGTTGCTTTATAAGTTTGATACATTTTTATGAGATTATGCCATAATCTATTTGGTGACGTGACGCTTAGGAAATTTCCACTCTTCAAGCTCTTCGAGCCCAAATTTCAGCTAGAAGTGACAGGTTGTTCAGTAGTTATTTGAAGTGATCGGTTTAGTAATTGGAAAAAAAGAATTCCATGCAGTGATAAAACACTTATTTAAAGAAGTAGACAGCATCGCAGATCAAAACCGAGTTAAACGAAGCTCATAGGGACTCTACTCCTGCATTGGAGATCATATATTTCTGGATAAGCGAATTTAAACGTGGCCAAACCTGCACTGAAGACGAAGCGCACGTCCGGACGTTCAATTGAAGTCACCACATCGGATATTGTGAAAAAAATCCAAGATATGATTATGGAAAATCGCTGAGTAAAGATGCATGAAATCAGGCCATAGGCATCTCGACGAAACAAGTATATAACATCCTGCAAAGAATTGCATATGAAAAAGCTGTGTGTATGGTGGGTGCCATAATAATTGATTCTAGATAAAAAATGCACGCAAAAGAACATTTCAATATAGTAGGCCTGTTCGTTTTGTCTGCACTGCTGAACTGGTGCATTAAGTTAAAGTGAGACAAACATAGGTTTTCTCACTTCAACTTGTTGCGCCAGTTCAGCAGTGTAGACAAAACGAACAGGTCTAGTGTTTGCCGATTACATGCAATTCGCTGGATTTTTGGTGTCGATTCGTGACTGTGGATGAAACTTGGATCCGCCATTACATTCCTGAATTGAAAGAGCAATCAAAACAGTGGACAATGCCTAGTGAAAATGCACCGAAGAAGGCAAAGACTGTTTTGTCGGCTGGAAAGGTGATGGTTACTATTTTTTTGAAATTTCGAAGGAACTAACCTAATTAATCACCTACAAAAAGGTAAGATAATAACAGGAGAATACTATGCAACATTATTGGACCGTTTAAAAGAAGAATTGAAAAATAAACAGCTAAGATTGGTGCACAAAAAGTGCTCCGAAGACGAAGTGCGCTCAGGACGTTCAGTTGAGGTCACCACATCGGATATCGTAGAAAAAATGATATAGTTATGGAAGATCGCCGAGTAAAAGTGCATGAGATCCACCAAAACGACATGCCGTCCTACAAGTCGACCGTGAGAAAATTATACGAACTGGGCTTTGAATTGATTCCTCGTCCATTATATTCTCCGGATTTGGTCCCGTGCGACTTTTTCCTGTTCCCAAATCTGAAAATCTGACTCGGTGGAAAGAAGTTCTTGTCAAATGAGGAAGTCATCGTCGCCATCAATGAATATTTTGTAGGCTTTCACATAGCTTACTTTTCCGACGGTATTAAAAAATTGTAAGCTCGCTGGATCAAGTATATCGCCCTTGATGAAGACTACGTTGAGAAGTAAAGACAATTTTTTCCAAAAAAGTGTTTTATTTGCTTTTTTACCAGACTTATCAAACAACTGTCGTAGTTATACATGCTACTATTAGTGATATCATGATAGCGTTTGCCAGTATTCCCATCTAGCTTCATGAACAGTTTATAGTGCTAAATGGTGCTAATAACGTTTCCCTGAATTAGAGTTACTAGGTATTTTCTTCGGGAAGGATTGTTCTTTTCTCTAGCCAAAAGTTGTTAAAATGTTTGTCGTGTGCTATTTGTTCTTCCTGATCACCCGGAAGGATTTTTTTCTTTTTGTTTGTCAGGTGTACTACCATAATAATGGCTCATCATAGATTATTTAATAATATTTTAATCAATATATTCTTATCAATAATATTAGATGCCCAAGAAAGTTCGTGTCGTTTTAATCAATAGAGATAAATAATAAATTTCCATAATAATTTTTATAAGTATTATATGCTTATATAAATTAATTCTTTTAAATAAGTTTTTGGGCAGTTTGACAATGACAAAACCTAGAAACGTCACGAACCTTTTTGGTTACCTAATATATACATGCAAAATACATGTATAAAATGTATAATGCATATATAAAATATACATGCAGTTGAAAATTGATGTTCGGAAAGATGATAGACGTATTCCACCAAACGATCTCTTTTTTGCTCATTAAAATGTTCCACCGTCCTTCCTCACTAACTTACAAATCTACACCCTATTCTGAACTCATCCTTATTAATGTAAGAAAGGTGACAAACTAATGTGCAGGATGTAGTAGCGCAATCGCATAAAAAGTACTTGATTGCACGATCGTTTCTCTTAGCAGCGACCAGTATCAGATGATAATAAAAGAAAAAGAAAAAAATGTGAACAGTACATAGATAATTATTTGTCATAGCATCCGATTTTGATTGTCGCTAAGAGATAATCATGTGGTCAGCCATTTTCTGTGTGATCCCATCGTTTTATCGCATCGCGTATGCTGATTTGTTAATTTTTTTCATTAATGATTCAAAATTTTATGTTAGTTATAATGTCAGTTGGTGATAGTTCGGAAGATAGAGGACTTTGTTATTTATTTTAATCACTATTATTCGCACAAGTTTTGACATATGTTGTGACGAATACTTTGTGTGTGTGTGTGTGTGTGTGCGCGTGTGTGTGTGCAGATACATACATACACATTATACAAGGTGCCCCATAACTCAACACGAGAAATTCGTAAAGACATAGAGCGGATTAAGGTAAACATAGAAGTCCTATACCGTTTTTTGATATTTGCAATAGTTATCGAGTTATTAATGACAGAAATCTGATGAGTGAGCGCACGCCGAGATGGATGATTGGAAAAACGTTGCAATCGCTCGACTCACAATATGACCCAATCAATCCAGCATCTGTTGGCAGCATCATTGTTCTTTCTCTCGCTGCGCGCCAGCAGTAGTTGGTGGGTCGACTAGACCGCGCTTTTGCTCGAGTGGCTACAATTTTCCATCTCATGTCAATGATAACTCAGTAACTATTGCGAATATTGCAAAATGGTATGGGACTTTTATGTTTCTTAATTTGCTCTATCTCTCCATGAATTCCCTGGCGAAAATATATCTACAAGAAACTACAAGAAACTGCGTGAATTGGAACACTTTCAAAGAGTAAGAAATCATTTCAGACTCTGTAAGAATTCGAAAAACTGCGTTTCTGTGAAATTCTTTATTCATTGCTTGAGTAATTATGCAATTTCTTTCTTTTCTCTAAACATTTTCCTAAACTTGAAATACTGAAATGTTCCTAGAAATAAAAAATGAAGAGTGGTAAATATGGAGAAAAGGGACCACCCTTCCAATGTCAATAATTTTCATATTTGTCATCAAGGTCATTACCCTCATTAATGTTATCAAGATTAACATATTGTTATAAACAATAAGCGCAAGCTATAATATAAGATATAATATAAGATTATAGCTTGCGCTTATTGTTTATAACAATATGTTAATCTTCATAACATTAATGGAGGTAATGACCTTGATGACAAATATGAAAATTATTGGAAGAGTGGTCCCTTTTCTTCATATTTACCATTTTTCATTTTTTATTTCTAGGAACATTTCAGTATTTCAAGGTAAATGTTTAGAGAAAAGAAAGAAATTGCATAATTACTCAGGCAATGAATAAAGAATTTCATAGAAACGCAGTTTTTCGAATTCTTACAGAGTCTGAAATGATTTCTTACTTTCTTTGAAAGTGTTCCAATTCACTCAGTTTCTTGTAGTCTCTTGTAGAAATATTTTCGTCAGAGTTTCTCGTACTGAGTTATGAGACACTATATATATGAAGAAAAAAGATATTCTTATTTTATTTTATTCAAGCTGCTGTTATATTTGTTATATAACATGAGCATGAAGTAGACGAAAGAAAGCTTCCTATAGTATTTAATATATTTCAAAATAATAAAAATAGGAAATTAGTCTGTACCCAATCGATGTATCAAGATTTACGATTTTGTAGTTTTTGTAGAATAAGTTATGACTACACAATGACTACGATTTGCAATGCATACGTGTATATCATAATTCAAATTTTCTGTAGAGTTCGCACTGATTTCCTGATTGGACAATTGCGTGTAAATTTGAGTAAATTGATTGTAGTGGGCATAGTTAACAATACATAATTTTGTACATAATTTTCGCTTTTCGTTCTAATCACCAATACTCTTATTATCAGTAATAAGTGCCAGCCACGTTAACTTAATTACATTTATGTTTACTAAATAAAATTAACAAGATACGTTAATTTCTTACATGTATCATATAAGTCGCAGTATTCATGCAGTATTTAATCAAACATATAGCTGTATGCATTAACAAACAAGTTAATTTCTTTTAGCAAAGAATGCAAAATATGGAAATTATGTGTCTTTTATAGGACTCTATTAGAGCAAGTCGACAATTGAGAAATTTTTCTTTTTTTCGATGCAACAAAAGAAAGGGGTCACTCACATTCACTTTGAACTAAATTTCAGCCACTTTTGTAATGCTGTCACAGACAGCGTTGGTCGTGGGCTGTCTGCAGAGCAGTAAATTGCTACATTCAGAGTTATTATTTGGCATACTGCGATCGCCGTTAGGATTCTTTGACATCACACCGTCCGGCAGAATATTAAACCGTTTTGGAAAGGACGTTGATGTAATAGACAACGTTTTACCTCCATGTATTAGAGCGTGGTTATTTTGCCTAACATCGGTATGCGAGCCCTAATCTTAATTTGTATCTATATCTTATATACGATTTTTAAACGCATATTTATATGCGATTTTTTTTTTTATCAATGAATGAATGGCGTACACAGAAAACACACTGGTCCACCAAACAGTACAAATATGATTAATCGGTATTAACAAATTCAAAAGTACTTCTTTATCGTGGTTTTTATTTGCAGTCTTCATTCTTCATGTATTCATTAGCGATTAGCAGACCATTAAAGAAGCATATTATTGATGAATCAATGAATCTACGTAATTGCATGTCTAGCGACACTATGTGTTCATACTATGATTTTACAAAGTACCGTTTTTACCGCAAATTGATTTCTTTTTTAATATGCGATTTGTCTATCGCGCACTATTACGTATATTTATATTTAGTTTTTATTATATTGTATATATATTTATTTGATTTACTTTTTTTGTAATGCACCTTTTACATGCACCTTAATTTATGTGTGACTGCAGTGAGGAACTTGCATATTGCATTAGACAAACAATAAGCAATTAATGAAAATGAACATTGCCATGATCTGTCGTTTGGAATCAATACCTGAGTAACAATCGCCGGCGAAGAACGCTACGTTCTTTAATATATAAGTAATCGTCAATTTTACTCGACAATAAATGCCAAAGGTTGATGCCAACGATCGTTGTAGGCGTGGGAATATTCGCAATGGCGTTATATTTGGCTAAAGGAATGATAAACTCGTCCATACGTCTCTTCCATGGCACGCTGGAACGCGTTCTTCGCAACCCGATGTCATTCTTTGACAAAACTCCGACCGGTCGAATTCTCAGTCGACTTGGTAAAGACATTGATGTCGTTGACAATATTCTACCAATGCTTCTACGTTCTTCAATCAATTGCCTCTTTGAGGTATGATATTCTCATGTAACTACGCACTAATTGCACATGTACTGGTTTTTCTGTGACAATGTTGTGAATTGGTATTACTGTCTTCTATTCGTCAAATGATATCACATTTTATTACAGATCAATACCTCTCTTTTTATCTTTTTTATTTTTTTTTCTTTTTCAACTTAATCGTTTGTGTACTATTATCTTAAAATATTGACTGCACGAAATATCTATTTCATTTTTGTTTTATTGATAAAAACTCAATCAGTATACAATCTGAGTTATTTTATATCAAGTCAATATATTAATTTTTCGTACATTTCAAGATCTTTCGATACAGAGTGACTAAACGATTTAAATATGATTAAAAAATTTTTTTTTCTTTTTCAACTGAATCATATTTATGATGAATTGGAATGAGGGATTGTTCTGTACACATTCCAACATAATCAAGACTTGAAGATATGCTTCAAGTCTTGAAAAATATGTAAATCTTTGTCGATACAAACAATTCAAATGTGTATTTTTGTGTATCTCATAAATATGCGATATTACATGAGAAAAACCCTATGTTGGATTTTACATGCTACGTTTTACGTGCTACTCTTTCGATCGCATTCCATTAATATCGTAAAGTTTATCGATTCTTTTGTTTATATATACGAGATATGCAAATCATTTTTATTATATCAGAAACGGCAATATAGCAAGACTAGGTATCTGATATTCATCTTAGTTGCAGGATGCTGTTGATGATGTTCATTTTCTATGTTACGATACGCTTTAGATCTGACAAATTAGAGACGCTATTATCACAACGGATGAATGATCGCGTTTCATTTGTTTCATATACCGCTTTAATAGTCCTCAAAGTGGAGTTTCGCTTCGACAAATTGTAAGCATTCTTATATCATCGCTTAGCAAAATCCATGATCGTTACTTTAATGTTGAATTTTACCTTTATGTTTATGTTACATTTTTGTTCCTTCAGTTTTTCCAGTTCTGTTTATTATTATTGTTTACACATTACCATAATCTTTCCATTTTTATTTCTTTCACGTCCGATTTATATTGTATATAATTATCATGTAACTATAGCATTATGTAGCAATCGTTCAGGGAATGGACACAATTATACTATTTAATATTCATGTACAGAGTACATAGTCTCGCTTGTGCTTGATTAACGCTTACTCTATACTTGCTTGTACAACTTATTTTTAATTACGATTCTGTTTTCTGGGAACTGCTTGTATCTATCATATACAAACTGGCATGATAGCCTTACCATCTAGTAATAATAATTAGAATTTTTCATAAAAAGTTTGATAAGTAACGTAAAGCATAAAATACATAACGTAACATGACGTAATGTAACATAAGAGAAAAAATGTAAGAAAAGAAGTAATGTTAGACGTATTTTTTCTATTAGATGTTGAGGCTTATTATGTTGATCCGTATATTAGCTAAATTTCACAAACTTCCGTATTCTATATTAGATTATTAGCGCGTATAGGTTTCGTGGGATAAAATATGATTTTTCCATATGTCGGGTAGGCAAAAATATCACTTGAAGTAAACTTATAAACTGTGACAGAATTTTGTTATATTGTTGTACATGATGAAGTTGCGCAGGAACAGACATTTTAAAAAGAAAGATATTCAATATTTCTGTATGAGAACACGTATATTCTTGATCTGCCTACTTGACAAATGGTAATTGGTTTTATGCTCTAGGTCGTTGTTAGTGGTCCGGTGCAGTAAAAGTTTGTGCTATGTTTTGTCCGGTATGTCACAGCAAACTTCACACCTTCGCATAATATGAGACAAAAGTGGAGCGGTTTAAATTCATGATATCACAAATGTGTGAATGAGTTTTGAGCAATATTGTAATGCAGAAAAAAAAACTAAGTGTTTTTATACATATTACATTCCGGGATTGTTAATATATCACTCGTATTAAACGCCAAAAAGGAGAGAGAGGGGGGAGTGTGTGTATGTGTATGTAAGGAGAGAGAGAATGATTGGAGGTGGACAGGAGAGAAAAAATTTGTTTGCACATGTAATATGTTTTATGTAACGCATTATATTTGACTATATTTTTATATTTGGCTAATTTAAACGTTTATTATCAATCTGTCTGAAGAGATCGTGAAAATTTTATATCAGGGTGTGATCACGACAAAAGTTATCCATGTCTGCTGTTGTAGCGATGACGAGCTTTTTCTGCGATTTGGCACCGCAGCTGGGCTGCTGGTTGGCTGCTCGCCAGATGCACATAGTGATGCTGCGTGCTGTGATGCGTGCACCATTGACCTTCTTTGATACGACCCCTATTGGTCGTATTATCTCCAGGTTTGCTAAAGATGTGGACGTACTGGATACATCTCTTCCTCCGCAAATTTCCGATACCATCTATTGTTTGTTCGAGGTAATTGTTTTGGAAGCGCACGTTGAAAACCGCAGTTGGGATCTCTTTATTATTTTCTTTCCCCATATGCTTCCTATTCGTATTACTCGATTCATGTGAATTCTGCGTACATTTCCTTCTCATTTTTCTATGCTGAGAGCAAAGAGAACTTTCGTATATATGTATCTTAGGTTGAAATCTAATACATTTCATTCAAATATGTAACTTTTTCCGTATTAAAAAGAATATACAAGACAGATGGTATTGGTATATCGTAATGGATGTACATGTGTGATAATTTTATTGGTGACTCTACAGGACCAGTGGAAAATTTGAGAAAGTATTATTTTGGAGATAATTATTTAGCGCAAAAGTACGCGTATAAGAGGTGAACGTTCCGTAAAATTTGTCATTGCGTATAATTGTGTCCGCCTTGATAATGAGCCATTTGTATAGCCAGTCATTATTTATCCTATTCGTTCCAGAATAAAAAAAAGACTCGATTAAGAGACACACATAAGTGTATCTTGACGTTAATGTTTTTTCGTATTTATATGCATTTGTTTTGATGCATATAGCAATAATCATATTCATGGTACATGTTGGTGGGCCTATAAAAAAACTCTATCAGTTTATCCTTTACGTGCTATTTTGTTTTAGAAAAAAATATCAACACTTCGTCTGTAACGTTTCTACGTGATGACAGTTTATTTTTTATATATATATATCTCTTTATATTTTATTCTTCGTATATTATTACATACATCCGTATATAAAAACATTCTAAACACAGATAACTTTTTTCAGTTTTCTTCAATCGATTAATTTATATCGTGTATAATATATTGTAATATCATATGATAGTATTACATTTTTTATTATAATTATATTAAGAGCAATTGGGTGCGTGCGTGCGTACGTGTGTACGTGTTACACACGCACAACATGTTTCAGACCACTATCTACTTTTTTTATTTAAAAAAGCGATGTTTTATATGTTTTATGTTTTATATGTTGTATGTTTTATATGTTGTATGTTTTATGTGTATGTGTATATATACAGGGTGATCCGAAATTCCCGCATTCGGAGTATAGGACATAATACTTTATGCTAAAATAAACAACTTTTTCCTTTAGCAAAATTGCGTTTGACAAGTAGTTTTTGTAGAAAAACGTGTTAAATTTAACGAATAAGTGCTCTTGTTTATGTGACGCTCAAGGCCGGCGCACGCGCCTCACTCGCGTGTACCCAGTCAATGACTAATATTCATAAGTAATGCCTTTTAAGATGCTCATACGGCTCTGTTGTGATTAATTTACGACATCTTAAAACTGTACTTAAGACAATCTTAAATAATAATAATTAACTATGAACAATAGCGGGATTTGACCTTCTTCCATATTGTATTGCTTAAGTAATGAAAAGTTAATAAAATAAGTACTGCCTTTATTTCTTACGTAATAAATGAATAAAAAATTTTCTGATTGCACAATATCATCTGAAAATAAAAACAAATGTAAATAGTAATATGCTTTGCGAATTGTGAAATCCCAGTATTGTTTATAGTTGATTTTTATTATTTAAAATTCTCTTAAGTACAATCTTAAGATGTCGTCAATTAATCACAACAGAGCCGTATGACCGTCTTAAAAAATATTACTTATGAATACTAGAATACTCACTGACTAAATACACGCGAGTGAAGCGCGCGAGCCGGCCCTGAGCGCTACACAGACAAGAGCACTTATTCATTAACTTTAACACGTTCTTCTGCAAAAACTACTTGTCGGGCGCAATTTTGCTGAAGGAAAAAGTTGTTTGTTTTAGCATAAAATATCATGTCCCGTATTCCGAATGCGGGAACTTCGGATCACCCTGTATAAACATATACCTATATATAAATGGGAAATATGTGTTTACTATGTAAAAGCTTATCTGAAGTTTCTGATGATAGTATTTTCACGTTTGGAAAATATCAAAAACAAAGGACAATTTCAAAGTGTTAAATAGCAATATAGAGCAACACGGATATCGTTGAATATAATTTTTGTCTTATGATATCAATAGCTCTCAGGATTTTTAAAAGATTTAAAAAATGGCAAGCTTTCTGAATCCATATCACGAGTCTGACTTATGTTTGTTACGTTTGACTGTATGTCGCAAACACTTTGAATATCTATAACTATCTTCGCCCATTTCCGAATAATATTAAATTTTTTTTCAAGCAAAAATTTTTGTTAATACTCTATCCAATGATACGCATATTGCAATTTAATACTTTTAAATTGTCCTCAGTTTTTAATATTTTTGGGATTTCTTAAAAGTGAAAGTATACCGCCATTAGAAGCTTTAAATGCGTTTTTATGATAAATATGCCCCCAACTTCGTGGCATCGCCTTTTTTCAGAATGAAAAAGGCGAGTGGTTTGAAACATCCTGTATACACATGTGTGTATGTACATATAAAAACTCATGTATGCATATACAGTTGTCTATATGTATATATGTTTGTGTTATATGCATGTATTTGTATCTTTTTTCAACGAATTAATATCCATTACAGGTTATAGCTACTCTTTTTGTAATAAGCTACAGTACACCTATATTTATCGCAGTAATACTGCCAATAGGCGCGCTTTATTATTTTATTCAACGTTTTTACGTTGCATCATCGCGCCAATTAAAAAGATTAGAGTCCGTATCAAGGTCTCCTATATATTCACATTTTAGTGAATCAGTGACCGGTAGGTTTTAAAGCTGTATCCTTACTTCACAATATTAATTATTAATATTAAAGCGAATATAAAAATAACGCTTTTACTTGTTCATTATCCAGGTGCATCGATAATTAGAGCGTATGGTGTACAGGAACAGTTCATTCACGAATCAGAAAGTAGAGTAGATATCAATCAAGTATGTTACTATCCTAGCATTATTGCAAACAGGTAAATATATATTCTCATTATATGTACACATTATTGCATATTCTATGTATAACATGTCATTAACCAAAATGAATCCGTTGCAGATGGCTAGCTGTGAGACTAGAAATGGTCGGAAATCTAATAATATTCTTCGCGGCGTTATTCGCAGTTTTAGGTAGAGATTCACAGGACATGAGTGCAGGAATCGTTGGTCTATCAGTCAGCTATGCCTTACAAGTAAAGCATTGCAATTGTTAATGTATGATATGACGTTATTTTAAGATGAGACATTTCTTCATCTGGAAATATATTCTATTATTTATATGAAGAATATGTAGAACAAATGCGTTAATGTATGTGATATATAAATTGTACACGATTTGTGACTGTCGCACAGATCACCCAGACTTTGAACTGGCTGGTTCGAATGACGTCCGACGTCGAGACCAATATTGTCGCGGTGGAGAGAATAAAAGAATACGGAGAGACAACGCAGGAAGCATCATGGAAGAATTCAGAGTACACGCCTCCCAAAGAGTGGCCTAGTAACGGACGCGTTGACTTCAGGAATTTCAAAGTCCGCTACCGCGAAGGGTTGGATCTTGTACTACACGGCATTTCGTTCAGCGTTCTTGGCAGCGAGAAAATCGGCATAGTCGGCAGAACGGGTGCCGGCAAATCGTCTTTGACACTGGCACTCTTTAGGATAATCGAGGCTGCCAGCGGCGAGATCCTTATCGATGACATTGACATTTCTAAGCTGGGTCTTCACGACTTACGTTCTAAATTGACCATTATACCACAAGATCCTGTGTTGTTCTCCGGAACGCTACGAATGAATCTAGACCCCTTCGATAATCATACCGACGACGAAGTGTGGAGAGCATTGGAACACGCACATCTAAAATCGTTTGTGAAAAGTATGTATACTTTCTTTTTCGACGGGTCGTTCTGTTGAGAAATCTCTAACTTATCGGTGTTGCGCTTCAGATTTGCCAAGTAGTCTTCTGCACGAGGTATCTGAGGGTGGAGAAAACTTGAGTGTGGGACAACGACAATTGATCTGCTTGGCGAGAGCATTGTTGAGGAAAACGAAAGTTCTGATATTGGATGAAGCCACGGCTGCGGTCGATTTGGAGACGGATGATTTGATTCAAACTACTATCCGCCACGAATTCAAGGATTGTACAGTACTCACGATAGCTCATAGGCTCAACACTATTTTAGATTCAGATAAGTATGTATGTTTTAAGTTTTAAATTTGTATAAACGCGTTTTAAATGTATGAACGTTCTTATGTCATATATATGCTTTATTTTTGCTTTGCAAGATCTCTGCTACTTACTGATTTTATTTTTAATTGTAACAATTATCGAAACCGTTACACATAGATTGCAATTAGTTATGGTTTAATTGTGATTATTGCTATATAATGCTGTATAATTGCAAAAACACATTTCGTTTTCTCTTTTTGTTCGTATTACAAAAAATAATATTATTTCAGGGTAATCGTGTTGGATAAAGGGTTAATTGTTGAATATGATTCTCCGGATACGCTACTTCGTAACCCGACTAGCTCTTTCTACAGTATGGCTAAAGACGCAGGTCTAGCTGCTTAAGCGAAAGGAATATGTTGCAAGAATTTTTTCCAATGACTACATTATCCACGAGTTAATGTCAAAAGAAACAACAAAACCAACATTCAGAAAGCCATAGAACAAATAATGTAGCTTAACAATCTAGATTAATTATAGTAAAGTCTTTCTATGCAATGAAAAAAAACGAACATTCGATAATAGACGATACAAAAAAACGCTGATTCGTTCGCCGTCGAAGAATTTTATAAGACGAGAGGAATCACCTTGCCAAATTGTACTGTCGATTATCGAATTTTCTATATACAAGGCATCTCATAATTGTAGCCTAAGACATAATGGTATTTTTGAGCGTAACGTAAATTCAGATGATGCATAATTTTTTATTCAATTCAATTTTATTTAATTCAGTTGAATAGTTATTCAATTATTCAGAGAATAAAATTGAAATCAGCGAAAAATAGATGTCACAACGGTTTCTTATTCCTTCGCACAAACCCTCTTCGCTAATTTGATAGCTGAGAAATGGTGCATTATTTAAATATTTGCAAAAGAAGTGTGTGTGTACATACTCACGTGCACACGTACATACATTTATAGTAAATAAAGTTTTGTAGTGATGTCTCATGAAATGAGGTATGCACGATATAGCTCGGTTTTAAAACGGCGTCAATGTCCATTATCTATTACGTATTTGGATTTATGTCTAATTGGATAATGGTTGGATAAAATGTCACAATATTTTATGCATTCTATGATACGGATATTCTGTATCGTATTAAAGTAGGACTGCCAACAAAATATACATGTGATCAGTAAAAGTGATATCTTTACTCGCTCGAATTAAAAAAAAAACAAAGAAGAAACTAAAATACCTATCTAGATAATTAACAGAAATTAATTATAAAATTTATTAGTATCATTATCGCACAAAAAAAAATATTTGAGTGCAATAAAAGTGGAATAGTGCGTTTGTGATACTATGCATTTAAAATTGTAGCGAATATTTTTCAACAATTTAAAATTACCGATGTATGCAACTAATACGATACAGAATATCACTTCCGATAAGCGGAATGCGAACGAATCTTATTTCGTGTGTTAGTCTCTGTACTTTTACATTTTTCCCGAAGAATCTGTCCTTCAAAGCGAATTACATTAAGAATAGCGAATTTGAACGTTTACAAGCGAGAATATCGCAAAAAGCGATTTCTATTCGTTCATGAAATTTTGCATCTGATAATTTTATTATAAATCGTGCCCGTTTTAATAGTTATATTTATTAAAGTAACTTTATCAATAAAAAATATACGTACAGTGATCAATAAAAGGTTATCCATTTGAATAAAAAAGAAAAAAGAAAAAAAGGAAGGTAGGCCAAAAAACTACAGATGTTAAATAATAATAACGACAAAGAAAATATTATTTACAGCTTTTATGATATATAATAAAAATATAATAGAAGCCAAGCACAAAAACTAATGTGCGAATGATCTCTGTTTTGCGTTATATTAAATTGAATATTACACATTAATTTAAAATAAATTGCAAATTTTGATCCATGTTAGATTCTTTTTATTGCCAAGAAACAAATATCATCACAACTATACAAACAAATTTGATATCATAATCTTCCATTCTTTTTTACAAAGAAAAAAACACAAGAAACAATATAAAAAATATTTTCTTTGCGAAAAGAAAGAGATTATAGGATTGAAACATTTATTATAATTACAATAATGTTTGTTTCTTTTGGTACTGAAAAGAATCTGATATAAAGTTGAACCGAAATTTGTAATTTACTTTAATTTAATATACTGTTGGTTTATCAAAGCAGAGATTATTTGTACTTTAATTCTTGCGCTTAGCTCCTATTGGCCTATTATACCTACTTGATTGTGTTCATGGTGATTCATTATTTGAACTTTTTCGGCTATTAGATCACTGAGCCTTAAAGTACTATTTCCTCACATAATTGATACTGTATAATAACGTAATTATTCGGAATATATTTGATCTTCCAAGGCATTTTTATATTTAAACGCATATAGTGAAAACTTCTTGTGAACTGCATACTCACTTAAAAGAAGAAGAAAGACATCTTTATTTTTCATTAACATATGCGATATGACCATTAGTCGTGGTAAAAGTATTATTTATTTTAATCTCCTTACGTCTTATACACATGTAATACCATCGTAAACTCAATAATATATTTTAATTTTCATATTACCTACGCACTTGCCTTGTTGGAAACTAGTACAAGTTCATTTAAAAATAGGATTTGATATCGTTTACAAACAATCTTATTCTTACAAATTATGAGAAAGTAAATAATGACATTGCAATAGTATGGTACAAATCTTTGCGAAAAAAATTGGAAAAGAAAAGAAAATACGTCACGCTTTACTGTGTGTATGACGTACGTACGTGCTTGCGTGTCGCGCACGTGTGTGTGCGTGCGTATATGTGTGTGTGGGTATCGCGTGCGCGCGCGCGGTGTGCTCTATCTTATATAAAGTTCTCTTGTATTATTCAAAGTATAGATAAATAATATCTGTGCCTATTTTACAAAAATGAGCAACAGAGAGATCGCATCAGGAATCGCCATGCCGCAATTGAAAGAAATACAAAATCCGCATAATTAATTTGTTTTTTAACGGTTTGGCTACTAATGCATGAATAAATTACAGGACATTCTACTCGATGTTTGTAATTTCCTATATATATTTTATATAGTAATCCATGTACGAATATGCATATTTTAATCCCTTACGTAGATTATTGCTGGATATAAACAACAGTTGTTTGGAGAATATTAACGTGAATACACACGTCGAGAGAGCGTACTTGTTTTATATCTGTCATTTTTATGCAAGCAAAGCTGCTCCCGGCAATAGTGCGATTATCAAAGAAAAAAGATAAAAATAGATATGATTATTGAAGAGATTTCAAATAAGGTATACTTAATATTCATAAAAATAAAAAAACAGAAGAAACAAATTTTCATCTATAAAAGAAAATTTATGAAAGCGCACACTTTGTAAAAGTAATAGTTTAAGTCTCAATTAGCTGAGGTCCCAGTAGAAAGATACGATGTTTGTTCAGTGATAAATGTGCTCAAGATAATACACGGAATGAAAAGTACTATGCACAAAGCAAAGTTCGCTAGAATGTTAAATTTGATATTATAATTATAACTTACCGCATCCCCGGACTTTCTCTCGCAAAATTACGGAAGCTATTATATTACGAGTGTAATGTTTAGTACTAAATCATAACTAAAGGATAGTTCGATGCTTTTTAATTTATAATACCATTTGTAGATTTTTATTGCTGATAAATGGTAACTTAAAAATCAGTGTATGATATCAACGGTATGATAATCGTTCTCTATAATTAATTGACATGAAATATCATTTCTTATTCTTCGTCTCATGTTACCATGTCTAATGTTAATGTAAATTTTGTTATTTTATGAAACAGAGCTCTATTTGTATGTTTGTGTGTCTGTCAATGTATTTGTTACATTACCATTGTTGCTCTTAGCTATTTTAATCTTTTAAAAAAAGTTAAAGAGATCTGGACGAAAATCCATCTTATTATTCGTAAAATTATAAATACCTAATATAATGAGATATTTCAGTTATATAACTCTCTCGAATCTGAGACAGGACAATGGTTAACTATGGAACTAGTGGTTGGACGAATTTACAAGAGCACGTAACTCAAAAACATGCGGACTCGAAAGGGTTATATGAAATTATCTCCCGTGATTACATTGCTGAGAGAAAATAGTAAATTATACTTTTGCGTTACTACATTTCCATTGTTAAAAATGTATAGATTAAACCACAAATTAAATATTTTTAACTTTTTACTTAGAAATTGCACTGAACTTTGTGTTCATATTTTCACGTATATCTCATATAAATGCTAAACAAATAATTACTTATTTTAATATTAAGTCTTATAAGCTTCCTTATTTTATACAACGAAGAGAAATAAGGAGAACAGTAAAATAACGATGAGGAGGAATTACTTATATATTATAAAGAATAATTTTTATAATCGCATCTAAAAAAGAAGAGCATCCATGTCATATGTTACATTATTTGAGTTATCATATTCTTTCAGTTCTTATTTTCTGCAACAATAATATACGATATTTTTGCTATTTCATACAATAATTCAAATCGAAGAACCGTGTTAAAACTTTACGTTGCACCACCATACATAAACTATGTTATATAAACTTGTCGAAAACAAATACGTAGTAATCGTGTGTGTGTCTGTGTGTGTGTGTGTGTGTGTGCGTGTGTGCGGGCGCGCGCGCGCGCGCTTGCAAATATATAACAATTGTATATTTAAAACAACGTAAATTGTACAATCATTGATCAAAGATTGTTATGAAATATAAAATTAAGTATATTTGTGATATTAATACGTTAGGATATTATTAAGGTTCATAATATAGAAAGGATAATGAAAAAGAAATTCAAAGATTATCAATTTTACAAAAAGATATTCCAGTATACATCAAAATCACAAAATGTCTCAATACAAATAGAAGGGATCTGAATTCGCTTATTATTTATAAACAAATGATACGTACCAGATGGCATACAAGTACAAATGCGCGCGCGTACATACACACATACAGAGAGAGAGAGAGAGAAAGAGAGAGAGAGGAGAGAGGGGGGGAGGGAGAGAATTTGAAAAGTAATGAATTACTTATAGCGCTGTTATTATCAAAAATTACTTCTTTCAATAGGAACTAAACTATTGCAATTTGATGGTAACTGCCATGGTCCTCCTTACCACATATAGAAATGCCTATTATTACAATAGAAATGATAAAATTATTTGTGACAAAGCTCTCTAAAGTTAGATTGAAGAAGCGAGGTAGATAATAATAACAAATGCTCTGCAAAATACACGATAATAACAGTAATGAGTCACTTTGAAAGACTTTTTCGAGTCTATATAAAGAATAGGAATGTCCGGAATTATCGTATCGATACTTTAGCAATGTATTGTGGAGGCTTATTAATGTTGGACAATCCTAATACAAAAATTTTGAAACCACAATTTTAAATTAACACAATTTTAAATCTTATGTTTTAGCTTCAAGTTTGTTATTGATATTGGTGAATTTTAATCAGTAACTAGAGGTATTGTTAGCTTACCATTTATATACAGGGTGTCTCAGAACTTTGGCACACGGCCTCCGTAGGGATATAGAGCTAAGTAAGAAGAATAAGAAAATCCTGTGTCATAATGTGAAAATCGTAATGGTTTTTTAATTATAACCGCAAAGTTAGGCGTTTTTCACGCCCAGCGCGGCCTATAGACGCTCCGCGGCAAGCTGTGTGCGTAGGGGCTGAGCGATAACGCGGCTCGCGCTGACCGTCGCGCGGCGTCAAAGCGCCAAGACGCTATCGCGACAGTCAGCGCGAGATGCGTTATCGCTCAGCTCCTACGCATACAGCTTGCCGTTTATAGACGTCTATAGGCGTCTATAGGCCGCAATGGGCGTGGAAAACGCCAAACTTTACGCAGTTATTACTAAAAAGCTACTACGATTTTCACATTATGGTAGAGGATTTTTTTGTTCTTCTCACTTAGCTCTATGTCCCTACGGAGTCCGTGTCCCAAAGTTCTGAGACACCCTGTATATTGAAATTGAACTTTAAATTTCAAATTACTCTTGTAATATTGTACAGTGATTGTACACCCTGTGTGTGTGTGTGTATGTGTGGGTGTGCGTGTGTGTGTGCGCGCGCGTGCATATCCACATATACACTAAAATTATATTAATTTTATTTCGTATCAACATTTTTCACTCGACATCATGAATACTAATGTAGATACGCACCGAATTTTCATATCAGACTTAAATATCGCAGTCAACAAAACGATCTCTCTTTTCTTTCTTTTTTTCATACAACAAATATTTTTTTTCGCAGTTAAAGATTTATGGATTATAACTCTATTGAGCATACTAATCCTACATTCATAGTTCTTATATAAATGACCGTTATGCATAACGCTACAAAATTTCAATATTTCGTTCGTGTTTTCAAATTTTTATCTTTTCACGATTTAATATATAAATAAAGAAAGAACGTAATTTATTTGATCTCTTATCGTGTACTTCGCATGTATGCTGCAATGTGCTAGCATTCGTGGATTTGGAAAATACTGTGATGAGATGTACACGTTAATGCAGTTACATGAAAAATATATAAATCCGAGGTTCTTAACCCTTTGTGTGCTTTACATGGACTCACTTAGTCTGAAGATGAAAATTCAGGCAAAGCCTTCATCGTCAGAAAAAGAAATTGTGATATAATAATATAAGTGCTTCTTTATTAACCCATTAGATATCAATATACATTTAAAATATACGTACAAGCTTAAGTTATAGTGAAGATATAATTTTCTCTCATTTAAATTCATGAATTTACAATCTAGTGCAATGGATCCCTTGGCAATTCGCGTTTCCCCTTCTTCCTTTTCTTGGGTTAAGAACCCCTAAAGTATAAATAAACAAATGTTTGTAGTTACATTATTTTGGTATCGGGCATGATGTATTACTAGTTCAGGAGCAACATAGGACAACATATTAGATGCTATATATATCAAGTATTATTCATTTTTCTTCTTTAGTTCTTGCGTCGGGCGGTCCTCAACGGCTATCTGTTGCTTCTTACTTTCCGTGAGTTGCGCCTCCATCTCGCCCGAGAAACCGAATTCATTCACCCTGGTGTGGTCGGTCTTGTATATCCATCTTTGGTACAAAAATATGAAGAAAACAATATCGTCACGGAAGCAGCCGATCCTGTAGAGAGTCGGCATCTTTATCACAAATGCAAAGATATCGTCGACGAACGTATTGAGAAATTTGTAGGATAGCATGCGCCAAGGAAGATGTGCGACGCTCTTCAGTTTGTAGTTGATGAATAGTTGTGGCGTCATCATGATGAAGCCGAAGGTCAGCAAGAACCCATACAGCATATTAAGAACCCAAGAATACCAGCCTTTATGTTCCAAGTACATAAGTGAATAGATTGCGTATCCTCCTAGCAGCGGATATAGGGCCCACGATAGATATTTGAAAGCGAGTCTATCGTACTCCTTCGTGGAAGACTCCACGTATGAACCTTTATCTTGGAATGATATTTTCGGAAAGATCCCGAATATTTTCACTTCCCGGTTAATAGTAGTGTCGATGACTTTGTTAATCTTCCACACTTCGATACACATGCCTACCGCGCAACTAATGCGCACGACCGTGTTTGTCTCGTTGTCCAAAACATAAAGGAGAACGACGAGAGATTGGAATACGTTAAAAAATACAGAGCGCACGGATAAACCTTCTAAGGACTTTCGGTTATTCCAAAACTGAATGTCTGAAGAAAAACGGGTAGATATTAGAAAAAATGTTTTATAAAAAGTTATCATAGACTTGTATAAAACCTACTTCGACATATCGTGTTAAGGACCTTCTACAATAAGCCGTTATAAGGGCCGTCATAAGTCATAAGCAAATTGACCAATCACAGTCGATCATTTGTCGAAATAATTTACTCATTAGTCGATTTATTTGTGGCTTAAGACTAACGGCTCACTATAGAAGGCCCTTTAAGTATAATTTTATGCTTACCATTTTTAAATGCCAGAAATTCAAATACGCTATGTAAAATTGACACAATTATGGTCAATCCTAGTAAATATGGATTTGTCTCAAGTAAAGTCTCTTTCAAAGTGTCTTGATCATTATCATCTTCACCACTTACTTCTCCTAATTGAAAAATGATAATAAATAAATAAAAATTCATAATTATGACAGTAGAGAATTCTGTTTAAATTGTGTTATAAATATATATACATATAGATAAACACATAATATACAAAAAAGAGAATAGAGTATGCACACATTTTTTTATATGTAACAAACCCATAAATGATGCTGTCCATTTATTTCTAACAGATTGAGCAGCATAAATTTGCCACTTGAACAATGAAAGTGGCTGATAAGTCAATCTGAGTTCTAACTGTTTTGTAGTATTGTCCAATGGCTGGTAATCTCGTTGCATATTCCAAAAATCATTTATATATATTATTGGCTTATATGTATTCCCACCAGGTAAAAAATGTATATCTGAAAAAGAAAAAGTATTTTTAATATTTGATTATGGAGATATTTTATTCAAAAATTTGTTATGAATATCCAGTAGTTCATTAAATAGTAATAATGTCAGTTTTAATAAATTATCGTACAAACATTAATATTGTTAAATTTAATATGTTACAGTACTTTAACATATATTTGTACAATAAATTTATTATAAATGTGAACTTACATTCATCTAGTGGTTGTGGTACTTGACCATACATCCAATTGGTTTGATCAACCACCAAATTAACAGTCAAATTTGGATGCCAGTGTGACACATATTCTTGATCCATAAGTACAGCCTTCTGCAAAATATTAGCTTATTCTTTTAACTGTACTTACTATACTATCTTGCACCAGTTCTCGTTTCCTCTGTTTTCACCAAGTCTTAATTGTATACCTGTCTTTTTCTTCTTTTTTAAATTGAACAATTATATACTAGTTTCTCATACAAGAACAGACTATATATTACACATTTAAAGAGTATCATTGCTATATAATAGAGTAATTTTGAAAGTTAAATAATGCATATACACACCTCTATTTCTTCTTTACTAGCTGTGCTTTCACCAGTCAATAAATTATGTTTTTTTTGATATTTGATTTTCTTAAATTTATTCAACATTTTTTTCACATAGGATATATAATCACCAGCGTAGACTCCTTTACCAGCCTTAGGATTTGGTGACTTGCCACTTTTTGTTATATATATATAAAGATAGATAGTGCCATTCTTTTTCAATCTTTCTGAAGGAATAAACGAATATTCAAGAACTCGAGAGCCATCTTGATTCGGTCCACTATACCAGTCTCCATAAACTAATCCTTCTTCAAACCAAATCAAAGATTGTGGGTCATTGAAATTTTTAAAGTTCTCAGATTCTGACAGATAAACACTAAGATCAAATAATGTTCCATTTGGGAATATATTTATAGCATGTAAACGGGTATCACTAACAGTATTGGGAGACTTGGAATTATTATCAGGACGTCTGAAGAAGCTACTAATAAAATAAATTATGAGAGCTCTTATAATTATAGATTTTGTTATGGCAAAAAGTGATTCTAAGCGTGATGGCTGAGGTTTTCTCCTCTGTTCGTCACTTTCTGCATTTACCTGTGAAAAATATATCTTTGAATCATTAACCTTATCTTAATATGTGTACTCATATAACACATACATACACGTGCGCGCGCGCGTGCATGTGTGTATGTGAGACATATATATGTATCAATTTTACTATTTATTTTACTTTTAGATTTTATCCAACAAACATATAAAGGTATTCATTACAATCGTTAATTACACTATCACAAAATCATTGAAGAAAAAATCATATATATTACGAGAGGAGCTGATGTATAATGTGAAATGTATAATGAATTCTTAAAAATAATTGTCATTATTCTTGCGGTATATCTTATTTCAAAAATCATATAAATATAATAGATGCAAAATAAAATTTTAACGCACATTTCTCTCGTCATTATCCTGTTCGTTCGTTAAAACCAGATCTCCGTTAGGCTGATTATTATCCATATTTTCTGTGACAGCTTCTTTTTCGCAGTCACGATGACAACTCTCAGTAACCACCATCTTTCTTTTGGGTCCCGTGCTCCTTCAAGTCTGCTCCTCCATTAAATAAATGACATGTAGATTGTATCTAACAAATGCATTTAGAAATTCATCTGTCGGTGGCGCTGTAAAAGATCGTAAGATAGATCGGCCGCAGCCAATCAGAACAATGTGAGTCGAGGTCAAAATTAACTGATTCCTCGAATTCTAACTTTTAATCTGCAATATTTTCTTAAATGACAAACTGCCAAAGTTCTGTCAGGCGAAATTATGTTAATACACTGAAAAGACGCACGATTTAAATATCAAATAAAAAATTTGTCTTTTAAATAGTTCATTATCTTTATTGGTTCGAATTTAGTTGTCGATAAAACCTTTCAGGAACACATTAAATTTAGATTAAGAACAATCACCGTATCTCTTGCTTTTCTAGCTTATAACAAACAGTATCTTTCCATGCTGGTACAAACACAAAATGTCTTTATATGTTAATAATTACAATATACTGCTTATTACTATACTATCATAATAATCTATTATAATTTAATGTGCGCAAGGGGGTTGTGTGCATCAGACATAAATTAAATATAATAACATCATGACAAAGAGAACTCTTTGCTTCGCATACAATATAGAATATTAACACGCAACAAAATATTTACAAATCTGCATGTCCTGCAGTTTAGAATACAAATGGTCGAGGTATACCAAATAGATTTTTCTACATAGTAGAAGCTGTGTCTAAGAACCAAAGGATTAACAGTGCGTGCAATGTCCAACGACACAACATTCAGCAGAGAAGAAATTTGCTTTTCAAAATTCTAACACTAATAGTTTTATCTCCATCCAAAACATCTTCTCAATAGAAGTTAGGATATTGTACATCGAAAGTAATGTAAATCCGTCAAAATCCTGCAAAATCACAAAGCATGCATTTTTCTTTTTGTATTAAACACCTAAATTTTACTTCATTATTCTGCTTTAAGGGATTTCTTCTCTTTCCTCTTAGTAGGATTCTTTTTGCAGTTGCTATAAATATTATTGATATCAAATGCTGCCTTCACATTATCCTGAAAATATTAATAAAAGTTAAATTATACAAGGAAAATTAAAAGTATATAGAATTATATTGGCACTTCAAAATTAAATTTGAATAATACATACTATTGAGAAAAGAAATTTAACAAGCTTTCCTTTATGATCAGCATATGGACGTCGTTCCACTTCTTTGCCATCTTTGAAAAGTATCAATGTTGGCAATTGCTTGCTAGTGCTAGAATCACTGATACGATATTTGGTTGCTGCATCTGGATATCTGCCAACATCCACTTTACCAAATTTAAGGTTTTCTAATGCATACCTACAAGGTAATTTTCAATGTGTAACAACTTACAAACATACAAAAATCTTTTTACAACAAAGAAAAAGCCTGATTACAAGATGCTTACTCTGCAGATAGTTCAGAGAATATTGGTGCAAATGTTACACAGGCTGGATTCCATGCTGTATAGAATGCTATTAACCAGACAACTCTGATATCACGTTGTATCTCCTCTTGTAATCCATTAGCTCCATGTAGATAAATAATATTTTCAGGACCTTGATATGTTGGTTCTGGCAATATTAATCCACACACTGCATACAAAATACAAGATGTTACATTATTCCCATGACTCATTTATAAATTGATATTATATAATTTGAAACATCTACTTACATATAAAAATAAAAGTAAACAAAATACCCATTCGCACATCTGCGTAAAACCACAGGATTAAATTTGCCACTTTGGTATACACAAAACTAGAAGTTAGATAATTGATCATGGTTACACTACCAGTCTTCCTTGTCCTTATCATAATGACAATCATGAGAAAGAAGAGAATTTCTGTTTCCCTCTAAAATACAAATGATTGTTAACATGACAATATTAAATTTTTATTTTATAAATTTACATACACTAGACACATACCCCGTCCAGCTCGCAGTCATTTTGTGCGAATATGTAATTACAGACTATGGGAATGCGCTTCGAGAAAATGTAAGAGATACTGAGCAGGATATTTATGAAATAATATGGCTTTAAAAGCAATCTTAAGTCTTTCTTGAAAGACATTCTGATAGAAAATACGAGAGCAACGTACAACTACGACTGCGAAGATCAATGAACACGCGGGTTGCACTTTCGGAGTGTAGCTCGAATATTATCGCACGATGTTATTGCAATTTATTATAAAATACTTGTCGTGCGCCTCCTTGGCAATTCTCTCCCGGAACGAACACTACCTCATGCATATGATAGACAAATATTGTCAACTACTTCGTACAATCATGACGATTAATTTTTACAAAAAAAGTGTCGAATTTTGCGAGGATGTCAAAATCATCAACATAAAAACACCATTGACTATAGAATACATAGACGGAGCCTATTAGTCTGTTCTTTTTAGCTGCACTGCGGAACTAGTACCATAAGTTAGAATGAGACAACTATATTTTTTCTCACTTTAACTAATTGCACCAGTTCAGTAGTGCAGCTAAAATGAACAGACCATATAGAAGGGGTGTAGAGATAATTGCGGTAAGGGGATCACTACATTGGCTTCAACAAACTTCGTTTATCTTCGGAAAGATTCGGCTTACATGTATGTGTAATATACAAAGTGGGGGGTTACAAGTTACAACCCGAAGGGCAAGAGCACAGGCTTTTGCATAACGCATAAAGCCAGCGGCACACGGTGCTTGTTTTCGTGCTGCATTGCTTGCTGGATGAAAATACTGCATTCTGATTGGTGCATTTCCATCCATCATCGTCGAGGCCAAGAAGGGAGCCTGGGAGCAAATGGTGAGCTCCCTGGATGAGGATGTGGGGGCGCCCCTATAAATAGAAGATCGCTAAGATCCGCCCGTGGGCGCCCTCACCTATGGAGGCCTTAGACCTCCAGGCCCTCGAGGGACTCCTGGACACTCTCTTCCCGAGAGTGGAAGGGCTCCCCTCCCAGATTCCTGCTCCCGAGATCCGGGAGAGGGACTGGGAAGAGGGCCTGGAGGTCTCTCCAGAGGAGCTCACCATGGTCAGGAAGAAACTTGGGGGCAAGGGCAAAGCAAACCTGTAGGCCTATTCTGTAACTTCCTAACGACAATGTCACTAGCAAGATTTGTCGTTACGCAAAGTTAGCAACAGTATAATGGAAATGAGTATTTTGTAACTCAGTGTAACGAAAAATGTCGTCAAAATTGTCGACAAAATGTCGAATTATATCGCTAAGTTATCAAGGGGTATGAGACCCCTCGATAAACGTTGTCGACTGGTAACGAGAAGAGCTATGCTAGTAAAGTATAGTGGTTTTACATGAGTTTAGACTCCTGTCCCTCGGGAAAATGAAAGGAAGAAAAGTAAAACTTGTCATTTGCAAATAAATAGAATTTATCAACAATTTTTTACACTGCCAAAAAAGATATATTACATATACCGTAAGTTAATTGTAAAACTAAAATAAGATATATTATAAAGGTTATATGCGTTTTACACATCAATTTTATACTTGAATCAAGTATTTTATATGTAAAATATAAAAGAAATTTGTGTAAAATTTAGTAAAACAATTTTATTAAATTATTTAATTCTGTTTTTTCTTATTTAAAGATATAATATGACTGAAGGATATTTAGCATGGGAATTGCTTGTCCTGCAGGAACGAGTGAGACGAATTGAAAGACGAATGGAGAGACGATTATTGCGAGATGATCAAAATCGATTCACACTTCCTCACGATGAATTTCTGGCACATTTTAGAGTTAGTCAACAACTGCTTATGGATGATGTAAAAGTTTTGAGACCACACTTACAGAAGCAACGCATTACCGGCTTATCTCCAGAACTGCAAGTTTTAGTTGCAGTTAACTTTTACGCAAATGGCAGCTATCAAAAACCTGTTGGAAACCAGTGTGAGCTACTTATTAGCCAACCGCCTACTAACCGTTGTATACGCACAGCAACGTACTTAATAAATCAACATCTAAGGTTTGTTCGCGTCGCATGCTCCAATGTACACCAGGGAGCATTTGGATCACGGATAAGATGGTGGTTGGAGCAGATGAGTTCATGTGCACCAATGCTCAGTGATACGAACGGATTGGAGCAGTTTCTCCTCTTTTAAGATGCATGCAAACATGCAAATTAAACTCGCAGCATGGATCCATTGGAAGATTTTCTCATTGGCTTTAATATATTAATTATGAATGAAATTAATGAAAATCTTTTACCTTTAGCTGTAATCCGTGATTTATTTGTGAAAGACAATGGGAACGACGATGAAATAGAGAGTGAGTATTGATGAAGATGTGACATCCTAACCTTATTTGCTATAACCTCTGAACATTATTAGTTTTAATTTGTCTTTTCGGTAATTATACAGAATATTCCCCTCACCTCCGATTTTGATGAAAAAATATTTAATCGACGCATTTTTTCAAGAGAAACAACTTTTCTATTTGAAAAAATCTCTGTCGGAATCTTATCTGTCGCCTCCGTGACAGATTTCCTAACCTAAATTGTCATCAACTTTAACAATTTATATCTCGCTCCACAAGACAGAGCGACGATTTTTTCAAATAGAAAAGTTGTTTCTCTTGCAAAAACGCGTCGATTAAATATTTTTTCGTCAAAATTGGAGGTGAGGGGGTATTCTGTATAATTACCGTCATTTCCTTAAATAGTTAGTGCATTTTTATTTGATTTTATGTAATTTGTAGATATTGCTATTAATGCAGTTATTGAAATGGCTGAAGGTATCATTCAAAGAAGACGTAGAACATACATAACTAATTATATTGAACAAATAGTGCCAATGTATACCGATGAAGAATTTATTATGCATTATCGTTTAAAAAGAATGCTTTTCAGAAGCATGGTGGACAGATTTAGTTATTGGGCACATTTTAGAAATCTAGGAGGTAAGTACTGTTTTTTAAATTAAAGATTTAATATCATAAGTTTTTCATTTTATTTTAAATAAAGTATAATTAATATTTTATATAGGACATGGAGGATTTGAAGTAGTTTCGGCTGAAAAACACATTCTTACTTTTCTATAGTTTGCTGGGCATCAAAGTACAAGTTTCAGGGATGTTGATGATAGATTTAATTTGTCTCTTAGTGCCTTTGAATCAGTGTTACAAAGAGTCACACAGTTTTTATATGATTTAAGAAATGAATTTATTCGGTATGAACCCACTGAGGCAGAAAAGCAGAGAGCGCAGAGATACTATGTAGAAAATAAAAATTTTCCAGGAATAATTGGTAATAATGTAATTTTTTCTGATGATGTACTTAATTTAAACTTACATTTTTGTAATTTAGTGTGGGTAATGATATAACTTAATTAATATTTCTTTCCTGTTATAGGTTCTATTGATGGTTCACACATCCGTATAGACAAACCTTCTGAAGACCCAGTAGCCTATATCAATAGAAAACATTATTTTTCCATTCACATGCAGGGAACAGTTAATGAGCAGAACAAGTTCTTAGATGTGTTAATTGGATATCCTGGCTCAGTGCATGATGCAAGAGTATTTGCAAATTCTAGTCTGGCTGAAGACTTACCAGCACTCTGTCACAGTATGAATACATAATAATCATAAACAATTATTGTATTATTGTTTTAGTCGAATATCTCTATTCTTGTTTAATTTAGTTAATATACATATACTTTATCGTGAATGTTTATTTAACTTTTGATGTTTATCTTAAGCAAATGTAATTTTTTTAGACAGAAACATAATTCTTAGAGACGCTGCATATCCATGCCTTCCTCAATTAATTACTCCATATCGGGATAATGGACATCTTACACAGGCCCAAAGAAACTTTAATCGTATACATAGTCAGTGCAGAATCTCTGTAGAACATACATTTGGAGTATTGAAACAACGTTTCAGGGAATTATATTTCCTTAAGCTGAGGAACATGCAGTTCATCGTTAAATTCATTCGCTTGTTGCGTCCTTCATAATATGGCTGACTTTAATGATATGCAATACATGGAAGAACCCGAGGACGACAATCATGCTGATGTAAATGCACAGGTGTTGTTATGTCCTGCCAGAAGATAGGGATGAAAATTTTGTTGATGAACGACGTGGTTGTGATCTCAGAGATGAACTATGCCGACAATTGTTCCAAAGACGATTCAACGTAGAGTAGAGATATATTAAGACAAATTTTAATGACTATATGATATATATATATATAAATATATAAAAGTTCAGCGTTAAATAAATAATATGTTTATATCTTACATCAATATCTATGTTTTCAGTCTTCATATGATAATTCTTTTTCTTAGGTATATTCTTTTTACCATTTTCTCTAATATCGCTATATTGTTTTTGCAAGATATTATTTTGCCTTTTTTGCGTTTTATTACACTTTTAACGTTTTGGAATTTTGTACGCGCTTATTGTAAAAAAAAGCAATTGATTATTTTATTTTTATGTTTATATATATCATGTGCTCATACATATTTGTCTGAATATACCTTAAAAAGTGGCCATGAGAAGATTATTACTTCTTGTAATAAGTTCTACTTTTTTTAAGTATTCTATGTATATATAGCAAAGTTAAAATACACATCTATATTTTATATTTATTTTATATGTTTGTATATGTATTTTAATTTAATTTTTTTACACAAACAATTTAACATAATGATCGTTATCTTAACAATCGTTATATTAAATTATTCATATTAGGAGAAGTTAAGAAAGATAATAAAATCTCTTAAATATTATATTAAAGTTTTATTTGTGATTATAGAATGTCTCTGAACAAAAAAATTCTTTTCAACAATACATATCAGTTATCCACACATCAGTTTGTTTTAATATCATATATTTTATATCTCTAATAATTTTTTCATAAAAAATAAATACAATTAATGTATAATGCACGTGTGTAATATTTCAATAAACTGACTAAACTGACTAAAAATGACTGATGATTAAAAGAAATTTTAATAGTTTTTATCCTTTATCAGCAACTGATTTGAAATAATACTGCTTTATTATGCAAAAAAACTCAATCGAGTAAACTTAACTTTGACTTCTCGAGAAGTTTAATACGAAGTCTTATCGTGCTATCCATTAAAATTAACAGAAAACAAATAAATAAAAATTTGAGAAATTAAATATTTATATTTAATCAAAAACTAAAAACATAACCAACATTGTTTTAAATATGGTCAAATAAAATATATGTTTATATCTAACAATTATTTCAATGTTTTCAGTCATGTAATAATAATTTCTCTGTTGGATTTATCTTTTTGGCCAAATTTTCAAGTACCATAAGTTGTTTTTGCAGAATGATATTTCGTTCTTTTTGCAATTCGTTAAATTTTTGAAGCTCTGTCAGAAATTTTGTGCGTATTTCTTGTTTATCATTACTTTCTTTTTGTAATACGGCACAAATGGATTCTTTGACTGATTGCAAAGTAAGCGCCAATTTGCCATCTCGTACTTTTACTCTTGTATTTGTTAAAGAGGAGCAGCTGCTACCCGTCATTGATGATCTGCTGCTATTAGTCGATAATGTCAGAACTGAAACATTGCTCCTTGTTGGTGACGAATTGTTTCTCGATGACAAGAGATTTAAATTGGTACCTACAGTTACGGGATTCGGTGAATGTAGTACAGAAGAAATCTGCTCTTGTTGCTCTTCATTCTCATTTCTATAATAGAAAACACTTTTAATTACTTATCTAAATGAAGACAAGAATTTAAAAATGTATTTTAGAGAGATCATTACTCACTCACAAATTTTGACAGACGTTTTGCAAAATTTCTTTTTGAGAAATAATTCCATTACGGCTAGCTACAATAAGTGGCACTCCATTATGACTTTTTCCAAATATTTTTATCATTTCTCTATAAGGAAAAGTATACAATCCATTAGTGATTAAATATATATACTTTAAATATTTCGAAAATAACAAAAAGAAAGCAAAAATATCAAAAAAGAAAACTGATTAAACTGCCCAAATAGACATAAAGATATCTTTTAGACTTCTAAAAGATATTTTGCTATGTCTCCAGATGTCTTGTATTTCTGAAAAAGATATTTTTTAGAGATTTAAAAGATACCTTATGCAACAAGTTAAGATATCTTTTACATATTTCGATGAAATGTAAAAAAACATCTTACACTTTAAGACGTGATATTTTAAACCGTTTACAAATTTTATTTTAGATATCAAAAAATATACTTAAGTTATTTGAAAGATATTTAAGGACATATTAAGATCTAGAAAACATCGAGATCTTAAAGATATGTAAAAGATATCTCATTATAGATATCTTCAAGATATTTCTAAAAGATATCTTTTAGATATTTTTTAAAAATATCTTTTCTTAGAAAATATTTAAAACATATCTTTTAGATATCTTCAAAACTTTCATGTTTTCTGAGTATCAATTGAAAGTATTCCATTTAAAATTATGACACATACAAGAAACAGAATGAACATAAAACTTACTCTTCATATGGAAGAGGTTTTGTGCCTTTTCCAGAGCTATTTTTTCCAGTGGTCCGTTTAATATGTATATCCCATTTCTTCTTCAATAATTTAAATTTATTTTTCATATGATTTTTGGTAGCATTTATATAACCTTTCTTTTGGAACGACTCTGCTAACGCTTGAAACATAGCCTCCTTATTTTGATATTTCCGTTTTTGAAACTTTTTCTCATGTTCTTCATATTCTGAGAAAAATAACATTATACTTTTGACTCCAAATAAAATGGCTATCACTGTTGAAAACACTGTTGAAAACAGAATCATTCTCTTTTTCATTATCTGTCATAAGTTCCTTTTCCATAACTGTGGAAGAATCTGAGTTTACAATCGAAAAATCCAATGAACTCATAATTGTATCTGTATGCTGCGTAGAGCTTGTTGCTGTAATGGAAGGACTTTCATGCAACTGAATACTGGAAGGACTCATCTTATTCATTAAAAGCACTGTGGTTAAGTATTGTGTTAAGTCCGTTGTGTGAGTTACGGCAGAAGTATTTGGTGTTTGAGGCTTAACTAATTTAAATGACAATATTTTTGGCATGACTTTTATAGCTGAGTTCTTTGGAATCATAGATCCTGTTATTAAAGAATTAGCATTCGGGTGTGCTATCATAATTTTCTGATTAGATTCAGCCATTATGGATTGTTTGTCTTGCTGAAGACACTATAACAAAAAAATCATTAATATTAAATACAATAGTTGTGTAAGTGAACACTTCTTAACTGGTTAAAATAACTTTAAAACAAATAATGTTGGAATATATTAATCACAAATTACTGAATAATATGTCGTATGTAAAATATTACATTTTTGCTCACGTATTAATTCAAATAAAATATAAACATAAGTCACACAAATTGTCCTAAAATAAAATCACTTAACCTATTTTGAATTTACTATTAGTTAATTAATTATAAAAATGCATATTTCAGCAGTCAACTAAAATCTTATGCAAGATATTTTAAATACCTGAATATTTAATACACGTTTTCTTAATTTAGTCGTACTTTTTTGCATTCTTCTTCGCAAAAGTAAACTAATGATTGCGCATGCGCTCATGACAAAACTGTTTCTGCCCAAACTGCACCACCTCCGAAGCTGGGGTAAATGGATCACACTCCTACTTGCTCCTTGAGGAATGCTCCAATGCGACGCGAACGCTTGGTCGCCATATAGTTTCCGGTGATGCAAACGGATTGGAACACATTGGGGCAAATAGGAGCATGTTGGAGTGTGCGACGCGAACAAACCTCTACTGCGTCCATGGATTAAATTTCCAATGACAAATGCAGAAAGGATTACTGCACGAAATAAATTTGAACATGCTCCACAAAGCTATAGACTGTACGGTCGCGGACATAAAGGTTGTCACTTCTTTTTAAATGACTTTCGGGACGCATCCCAACTCGAGAAAGATGAGAGCTGTTGCTCCGCCTGCGGAGCACGCCTGCGCAGTAACTCACAACGAAAGGCAAGAAACGAAATATACGTGGTATGCCATAAGTATGTCAACAATCATTCGCGTTCAGCGGAGATTACCGCTCAGTGAGCGATTAGTGACTAAAAAAATACGATTTCACTTAAAATTCAATATTCATACCTATTCAATACCTTGCAAAAGATGCATTCCCATTTGAGTGACTTGCACTATGTATCTATCCCTCCGCTGCTGATTTTTCAAAATGTAAGAATTGGGTGCGTTCAAGACACTTAACAGTTGAGCAACCGTTGAATAATTCGTTAACGTTATTGATCTGAATGTAAGGATCTAACAGTAAGGACTAATAGTCACTAATCGTTCACTGAGCGGTTTTCTCCACTGAACGCAATGGTTGCGTTCAGAAAACAAAGCGCTCACTGAGTGCTTAATAACTATTGGTCCTTACTATTAGATCCTTACATTCAGACCAATAACGTTGACGAATTATTCAACAGTTGCTCAACCATTGAGTCAACCGTCGTGAACGCATCCAATTCTTACATTTTGAAAAATCAGCAACGAAGGGATAGATACATAGTACAAGTCACTCAAATGGGAATGCGTTTTTTGCAAGGTATTGAACAGGTATGTATATTAAATTTTAAGTGAAATCGTATTTTTTTAGTCACTAATCGCTCACTGAGCGGTTTTCTCCGCTGAACGCGAATGATTGTTGACATACTTATGGCATACCACGTATATTTCGTTTCTTGCCTTTCGTTGTGAGTTACTGCGCAGGCGTGCTCCGCAGGCAGAGCAGCAGCTCTCATCTTTGGATCCATTCCGTTTCACGCATCGAGCGCATTAACTGCATCCAGAACCGTTCCGTTTCAGCTAATGCGTGCATTAGTGACGTATAGAATTCCCTATAATCCCCCCACCTCTATCGCATTAAGCACGCATCAGCTACTACAGCTCGGACTAAAAGCAGTTGATGCGGGCATGCGCAGATTAGTATTTATAATCTTTTATATAACCCTATTTAAATACTGACAACGTGACGTGACGACTGATATATTTAACGTACTGATATTTTTTTATTTTAAACATACAGATAATCACAGATACGTACAATGGACAATCGACAAAGTTGAATTCCCCGTATTAGGCCAGTTCCACAATTTGCTTTAAACTCCGTTTAAAGCAAGTTGTGGAACTGGGCCTTAGTGGATAACGAAATGATCATTATGTTTCTCGAAAAAGAGATCGCGTTAAGAGCATCGAAGGTAAAATTGAAATTTTTAAGTTTTAGAAACAATTCAATTGTATTTTTAAATTAATGCATGTGTGTGAATATTTTTCTACAGATCTAGAAGAAATCTATCAAGAATTCTTGATAAAATATAGACTCACTACTACTACTGCTACTACTGCTGCTAATTCTGTTGTCATCATTCACTAATGAAAATAAGGCTATTGTTGTCAATGTTTCGATATCCATTGTGACCGTAGTAGCATCCAGTTTTCCTTTCACATCAAACGCATCAAAAGTTGTTCCGTTTCCAAAAGCGCATAGACGCATTAACGAAAACGGAACGATATCAATGCGCGCAACGCATTGGTTGCGATCGATGCGCTCGATGCGTGAAACGGAACGCAGCCTTGCTCGAGTTGGGATGCGTCCTGGAAGTCATTTAAAAAGAAGTGACAACCTTTATGACCGCGACCGTACTAGTTACATCTAAGGTCGGAAATACAGTAGTAAGGCCCCTTGCACATTGCCAGGCAACAAGCAATAAGAATAAAAATAGACCAATCACAATCGACTATTACAAGAATAATCTATTGTGATGGGTTACTTTTATTCTTATTGCCTGTTGCCTGGCATTGTGCAAGAGGCTTAAGTGTCACGTCCTGGACAAGCATAGAACATGCAATGTCTAGATTCGTTTGGTTTACTTCGGATCAGCGCTATTCTTGTCCAAATCTTTATTATTTTAATCTGTTATCTTTGGAGGTGGGTTATTATTAGGTTTAAAAATAATAATATTCCCGCTAGTGTTGAATTTAACTTCAAATATATTTCCCTTTATTTCAGATTTTATTCTCGGGACCGAAGATTTTGATGGATCTGTTTTGAAAACAGCCAGGTAGAGCGTGTCTGGGTTATAATAACTTTTTAACAGACGTCTAAATTGAATCCGCCGTCCGGCTCTTCTTGTTCCAAGAACAATAATCTTTAATACCGACCTTTCTGATTCCAAGCTCAAGACCTTTTGGCAATCGGCTAACAAGAGGCTCAGCGAAAGGCTGTCTGATGGCTGATCAGAGGCTAACAAGAGACTGATTGCGCGCGAAGGGCCGAGCCCTTTTTATACCCAAGCCCGACACTATGGGTGTCAATTGAGCGTCTTTTCCTAACTCACTATTCATTATTTATTTGCTAAAAAATATAAAGATGTTATTATCTAATAATTAAAATTATACTTAATCATATGTAGCGTTTGGTAATTCAGTTGCCCCGTTATTGGCTCATTTGTTAATAAAATTATGTTTTATTAAGAAATGGAAATGTTATTAATTTCCTTTGGTATTAGATGTACAACTTTGCTTTCGCCATTTTTTTCCGAAATTCGAGGCTTTGTTGTAAAAAACTGGTTATGCATTTATGATTCAAAGTATTGTCCATCGCTGGCCACTACTTTCTCCCATCTTTCGGGCAGCGTACGAATCCCACGTTGAAAAAACTGGTCATCTTTTGAAGCGATCCACGAATCGATCCAATTTCTTACTTCTTCATAAGACCGGAAGTGCTAGTCAACCAGGCCGTGTGCCATTGATCGAAACAAGTGATAGTCAGCGGGAGCAACGTCTGGAGAATACGGCGGGTGGGGCAGGACTTCCCATTTCAACGTTTCCAAGTATGTCTTGACCACTTTCGCTACATGGGGTCGAGCATTGTCATGCTACAAAATCACTTTATCGTGTCTCTCGTTGTATTGCGGCCATTTGTCTTTCAATGCTCGGCTCAAACGCATTAATTGCGTTCGATAATTGCGATCGCCTGTGATTGTTTCAGTCGGTTTTAACAGCTCATAATACACTACGCCGAGTTGGTCCCACCAAATACAAAGCATGACCTTAGAGCCGTGAATATTCGGTTTGGCCGTCGACGTGGAAGCATGGCCGGGATATGCCCGTGGTTTTCTGCGCTTGGGGGTATAATGAACCCATTTTTCGTCTCCAGTCACAATGCGATGCAGAAATCCCTTCCGTCTTTGCCTTTTAAGCAACTGTTCACAAACAAACAAACGCCGTTCAACATCTCTCGGTTTCAACTCGTATGGCACCCAATTTCCTTGCTTCTGAATCATTTCCATGTCTTTGAGGCGTTTTAAAATTGCTTGTTGAGTCACTCCCAATGATCGTGCCAATTCTTCTTGACTTCGACACGAGTCTTCATTAAGTAATGCCTCCAATTCTGCGTCTTCGAAAACCTTCTCTCTTCCATCGCTATGCCGGTCTTCGACGTGAAAATCACCGTTCTTGAAGCGTTGAAACCACTCATGACACGTTCTTTCACTAATAGTGCCCTCACCATAAGTATTTGAGAGCATTCGATGAACCTCAGCCGCAGATTTCTTCATATTGAAGCAGAAAATTAAAATCTCTCGCAAATGACAAGAATTTGGCTCGTAAACTGACATTTTCAATCGAGAATAACTTTATAATGCAGACATAAATCGACTAATGTTTCTATTGGGTTATGTTGACAGATGCCCAAGTTTATTGCATGACGTCTATGATCTATTTATTTCGACCACTACTTACCGCTAAAGCCATTTATAAGAAAACGACGGAAGTGTGGTGTCAGAAGTGGGATAAGTGTGTATGAAAATGACACGACTGTAAATGGTAGAGTAATATATTTGTCAAGTTTACATCCGCTCTCTTCTACGACTAGAACGAGAATCTCTCTGCTCGGACAAACTCATGCGCTTATATAGTGCGCTGTGCGCCGAAAGTCGGTATTGAGCAAAAGGAAAACAGAGGAAAAAGATGCGAGCTTTCGGTCTCGCTACAAACGCTGCTTCGCGTTTTGAAGCCGCTGCGCGACGCCGACTCGCGGCATCACAGACGCCGCCTTGCGCTCTGATGTCACCGCGCTACGCCGCTCTCGCTCGCGGTCTCTTTTATATTATATATTTTTTTTATTAATTCTACTACACTCGGCCGTCCTGACGTCACAGTTGCCCCCAACTGTGGATTCTACTCTGAATCATAATCAGAGTACTCTGTCCACGGTTTCATATGGTCCGCTGATATAGAAGTTTGCAAAGGGCCTTCATGCTCTCCAATTCGCCGTACTAAATATCGATCATTACGTAAACATCTAATAATACTATAGGGACCTGAATATTTCGGCGCTAATTTTAATCCAGGCCCTAGATGCGTGCGCTTGATCGCTACCACGTCGTCTTCGTCATATCGCTTCTTTTCGTCTTTTATTGTAATTCTGAGAATTTGCCTGTTGAACTCGCAATATATTTTGTTTCGCCAACAGTCGCATCTCGTCTCTCTCGTTTTGGAAAACCGCGGCTAGTTCCGAATCTATCAATTCTTTGATACGCGGATTGTCTTTAAGACGCATATGCGTTCCGAGTAACAGCTCGAATGGCGTAAACCCTGTGCTTCGACACGATATTGAACTTAAGTATTGTTGCGCGACGTCTAAATACTTGAACCATTCATCGGGTTTTGGTGCTGCCAGTTTAGATAGCAATGGTATGAGAGTTCTATTAACTCTTTTGACTTGCTCGTTCGAACGCGGAACACCCGTTGTAATGGACACGTGCTCGATGTTCTCTT